TATTTTGATACCCTGATTCCGAAAATGAAATCAGTTTTTAGCTGCTAGATCTAGCCTATAGGCCTATACATTAAAAAAATTCTGTTAGCAAAGTTTAGTCCTGCGCTGCGGCAAACTTCAAAGACATTCTGCGTCACAGCTCGCCCCCCTCATCTCTGACTTTTGGAGTCTATTAGGCGTAGATCTAGTACGAGATAAGTTAAAACTGACTGTTAGTTTCCCTTCCTCTCTGTAATTAGAAAATAGTACTTAATGCAATATTGATTTTAAAAAAAAACCCCAAAAAACCCCACTTCTCTTTTCGATCTTCTAGGCTAAATCCAGCAAGAAAAAGAGTCACCTGCGAGTCATTTTGTTCATTTTGATTCGCTGGTTTGGAAACTGATATTATTTTTACGATAGAATGTAGATCTAGTATTCAATAAGCTTGTAAAAGCTTGTAAAAAAAATATATATCGTCGGCGGACCATATCGATACTGTGATCCACACCATCAAGACGAGGTATTCGCTTAGCGCAGGGACAAATAAAATTCATCAAATCGCATTTTTTTACGGTTTGATTTGAGCTCAGCACCCTCAACCCCCCCCCACCCCCCGGTGTGAAGGAATTGGGATTTTCAGCGTATTCATAAATTATTCATTTTCCTAATTAACAAGTCTCGTGAGCACATGCGTATCGCCTTCTTTCGGGGAAAATACAACTGCAATGCTAATCCTGGAGGTCAGTCCCAGAAGGCGACGGAATGGTGGGTGCAGTAATAGTTATGCTTTTGCATGCTCCAACCGCTTTTAATTTGCAGACACCAGACGGACGGAGCTAGGATGTTTTCGGCCTTAAACGTGAGTTTTCTCATAGAACTGAATTTTTTGACCTGGTACAACTTTTTGGGCTTTTTCACCCCGTTGCTCAAAATAGCTTTTCCGACAACTGGGATCTTTCTCCACCCACATTTGTTGTCTTTGGTGTAAAAGGTACCCAAAACGGACTTAAGTGGATAGATTGCGACATCCACGCTATAAATAAATAAGTAAATAAATAAATAAATAAATAAACAAATAAATAAATAAATAAATAAATAAATAAATAAATAATACCTATATTTATAATATATATTATGTGAAGTGTGCTGACTAAATGAATTACTTCTCGAATTAGGGCCCTATGGAAATAGATACATCATGCTTATAGGTGAAGTTTTTATAATTTGTAAGTGGGAAATAACCAAAGGCTTTTAGTACTTAATGAATATTGCATCAATAGCAAACTTAGAAATTTGACCCTAGTGTCGATTTTGGATCAATATCTCCATTTGTGAATTGTGAGAAGTAACTCATTTTGTCAGGGCCCCTTATATAATATACATACCCAAGAGCTTCCCCAAGAATTCCTGGCGATCCAGAACTCTACGCCTTTCTCGACACCCCAACCAGAGACGGTCACAGTATGGTTAGGCTGGGGAGGTGAAGGGGCAACGGGTTAATACAAAGTTAGTTGTGGGGTGAAAGGGTTAATACAGAGGAAGTAGTGGGAGAAAGGTTACAAGGAGGAAGGAAAGTCATGGAGGGAAAATTGTTAGTACCAGAAAAGTAGTGTAAGAAAGGGTTAATACAGGAAGGAGTAGTGGGAGAAATAGTTAAAAAACCTTTCTCTCTCTATTTCTCTCTCTCTCTCTTTCTCTCTCTCTTTCTCTCTCTCTCTCTCTCTGTCTGTCTCTCTGTCTCTCTGTCTCTCTCTCTCTCTCTCTCTCTCTCTCTCTCTCTCTCTCTCTTTCTGTACATATAAATGTGTGAATGTTTTTATGTATAGTATGTACGGTATGTGTGTAGGTATAGTATGTATGTATGTATGTATGTATGTATGTATGTATGTATGTATGTATGTATGTATGTATATATTTTTTTTGTAAGTGTTTTACGGCGCTCGCAACTGCATAAGGTCATATGAGCGCGCGGGACACACCTAATACTGTTAGTTGGTTGGAAATTTTGAATTTTGCCGAGGTGGCAGCCGAAGCCTACTCTTATCGATTTTAGACCAACAGGATCTTTAACGTGCGCAACTTGCACACGGGTCCTCCGAGATTTTTCGCCCTTGTCCAAGAAGGCTGGGTGTAGATCTTTCCTACCAGAAGATCAGAAGTGTGGCAGAAAGACAACTGTAAGAAGGAGCCAAGGAGTAGCAGTAGAAAGGCTGCAGAAAGAGTCAGGAGCCCAGAGAAGGGGGCAAAGGAGGTGAGGGGGTGGGAGCAGAAAGAGGAGACGAAAGCAGACGGCAGAATATTGCTAGAGAGCAGGAAAGGAGGTGAAAGGAGACAATTTTAGAGAAGAAAATTTTTCGGTCGCTACCCGGATTCGAACCCGGGACCTTTGCATGAGAGGCCAACACCTTAACCTCTTGGCCACGAGAGCCCCCGTATGTATGTATGTATGTATGTATGTATGTATGTATGTATGTAAGTATGTATGTATGTATGTATGTATGTATGTATGTATGTATGT